TGTGTGTGCATGTGTGGTGGGTGGGGGAGGAGATGGTGGGCAGCTGGTTCGCCTGTCATCTCTTCAGCTCCTGATTTCGTAGTCCTTGTGTTTGTACTATGGTGTGAAAGAAGAGTTTTAGTCATCTAATTTTCATTGACCATCAAACGCCTGGCAATGAGGAACGTATCATACATTCTATACAGATTCCTATTTATTCTGCTAGTACAATGTTTAAAGAAACTCTGTTCATATTCTGCTTTCAGTGAACAAAATATTCTTTCCTCTTTCCTCTTTTGCTTAAACAGCTTTGCTTTAGTTTACAAATTTGCATGTTTTGTTTGTCCAAACAAATGCAGCACTTGCACTGTAGTTGTGCCCAGTGCATCTAGCCCCCCCATTTCTTACTGTTTGTTGGCATTAATTAATAAACATCTGTCACCAAATAACATTTCTCCACACAGAGGACCTACCACTTTCCTGATCATCTTCTTGCTTCGAACATAGCTGAAGAAACCTTTTAAAATTATTTTTAACCTCTCTAGCAAGTCTGAGCTCATTCTGAGCTTCGGCCCACCTGACCTTCTCCCCACAAATGTTGGGTATTCGTATATATGTCTCCTTCATGATTTCCCCTTTCTTCCATTTCTTATACGTGCCCTTTTAAAATCTCAGCTCATCTGTAAAGTCCTTATGCAGCCACACTGGTTTCTTTAGATGCCTCCCACTTTTCTTTCTTGTTGGCATTGTCTGCCTTTGTGCCTTCAGTATTTCACCTTTAAGAAACTCCTATCCATCTTGGACTGACTCCTTTCTCTTTGAGTATTTCTCACCGGGGGATCTCACACCCAGGAGTTCCTTAAGCTTTTTGAAATCAGCCTTCTTAAAGTCCAGAGTGCATGCCTGACCACACTTGGCTTTCCTTTGCCTGTGTATAATGAAATTCAAGAGGACACTTCATCCCAATGTTCCCAGTACTTCCACTTCATCAATCAGTTCCCCCCTATTAGTGAGGACCAGGTCCAAGATAAATGATCACCTCGTTGCTTCTTCCACATTCTGGGAAAATGAAATGGTGAGTAAGGCAATTCAGGAATTTGTTGGAACTTACCTTCTTGGCAGAGTTTGACTTCCAACAGATTTTGGGGTAATTGAAGTCTCCCATGACTACTATATCTCTCCTTTTTGAATGTTTGGTCATTTGCTCTAGGAAAGTATTATCCAAGTCTTTGGTTTGGCTTGGTGGTTTATAGAAGACACCCACAGTAAGTTCACTGTTGTTTCAAATGCCCACCCTAAATTGTGCCAGGCCTGAAATGGGCTGAAGGTAGTCTAGACCTAGTTGCAGCATGGTACAGAATTATGTTCTTCATATTCTTGCATGCCGTTTCAGCTGGCAAAACTAAACTTGGACTACTACTTAATGGGTTTTTTATGTTATCAAAGCTACTAGCATGTTGAGTCACCTGTGGATTCCCCATCACCACCACACTTGGTGGAGTGAAAAGGTTAATATGGTGAGTCACCCATTGTTCTTTTGTTAAAACTAAGCAGATGGTTGTTTGTGGTTTAATTCATGATAATAAATTCTGATACATTTTTTTTGTCAGTTTCTGTAAGAGTGTTTAGTAGTGGTGAATATACTTCTTTTCTTCATGTCTGTAGCTTTTGAGTGTCCGAACTTGTTTTACAGGTTTCCTGTGGTCAAACAGTTTGCCATAGTTTGAAGTGGCACATGGAGTTGGGAAAATAAATGCTTCTGAGACATCAGGTTATTAAAACTAAGGGGTCATGCTGGGAAAATAAATTGCCACCAGCATGTACTGAAGTAGAAATATTTGTTAAGCTGCCTGCAGCTATGAATTTATTTATTTATTTCTTCCCTTTTACAAATAATAAATACCTACATTTCCCTTTCACTGTGATCACTTTTTATTTTTATTGGTAATTCAGAAAATAATGCTTCTTCCAATCTAGTTTTGACCTCTTGCTCATGGAAGGAACCTTCTGTGTTTCTCTTCCTGTGTGAAGAGTGCTATATGAACTATTTAATCTCAGCCAGCAATACAAAGAAATAATGACAGAGGAAACAGGTACTTACATGAGTAAATGTTTAAAGTTGCCAGGCTTACAATAAAGCCTTGAATGTTCACCACAGCTGCCTGTTTAATAGCTTCAGCCAAAGCTTGCTAACAAGAACAGATACTACACTAGATCGGCTCCAAAGTGGCTCCTTTCTGTCCTTTAATTGTTCTTCAGCCAGCTTAGTTCCAGAAAATGTCCTGTGTTATGCCTGTTAAAACTACCTTTAACAAAAGTAAATTACTTCCCTTATTCCCTCTATCAAAACTCAAGTAGTTACGTTCCTCTCAGTTTGGAAGCGAAACAAAGCCAGCAAAAAACAAGAGCTTTCCATATATATGTAGGTACACAGAAGTGCTGCAAGTCTGTAAATTAAAATAATGCTTAAAACAACAAATTCCAAAACAGCCTGCCAAGGACCTATGAGCTTCCTGAACTAATGAAATGTTGTTGGCAGTTGAGGCTATGGAGATAAAGTTGCTCGCCCCATTGTCTAAAGATGGAACTTCCAGGTTTATGATGGACATCAAAGACAGGAACTAGCAGCCTTCTACTACCTTTCGTAGGACAAGGAAACACATGCTGCAGCTCAGACACAAATATGTTAAGACCCTGGATTTCTCCATGTTTTCTACAAATTACTCTTATTTCAGCTCTGGAAAAAGGTAAAAAAGAGGGGTGTCTAGCAGAAAAGTCTGGAAGATTGGGTGGGTCTGTTAATTATGTTTATGGATGAAAGCATTGGAGGCACAAGCCTTGTTTGTATGACATGGCAAGCCATATTATGGCTTAACAAATGTAAGGGAACCTGGAGAGGCATTTATAGATCCTTTGCTCCTCTGTTGTTGCTGTTTTTTGTGTGTGCTAAGCTAAGTCAACGTTTGGTTTAACATGCCATCCAAAATAGGGCTTGTGGCTAAGCTCCTTCCTCCCTAAACACAAACTATAGTTATTCTCAAACCCCGGAGAGCTGCTGTTTGTCAGTGCAGACAATACTGAGCTGGACAGTTAGTATAATACTGACTTAGTATAATGCAATCACCATTTTTCCTAATCACCCTAGAATTCTCAGCAAGAGCTCAGGTGCTTTGGAAGTTTGCTGAGTTCAGGCACTTAAGCTTGGAGACGTTCAGCCACAAGTCAGTTAAACTAGCAACTTACAGAGCATGCAGGGAAATTGCCAAAGCCTTCATAACTGACCGTCTTCTGAAGTCTTTTACAACACTTATTTAGGACTATAATCTGAATGAATGCAAACATTCAAAAACTTATATATAGCAATATTGCAGCAGAGCATCAAAAGTTTTTTTTAGTTTTTTTTTAAACTTGCCTTCCATCGTTGACTCCCCATAGTCTGCCTGCTGGCACAAAATCTGTTGCACTATCAAACATGTTGCTCTAATTGCAAATGCGTGTGGGCAGAGCTTGATGCACAACTATTAAAATAATGGGGGAAACATAAGCCCTATTGATAGAAATATGGTCTTACTTCAGTCAGACACCTTCCAATATCCCGAAGTCCCTGAAATGACTATGTTAAATGAAATACATTGCTGAAGTTAATAATATGTGCCATAATACCAGATATTTTTTCCCATTCACCAGGAGGACTGTTTATGCTGCTCAGTTAATAAACCATATGGGAAACAGTCCTACTAGAAAAGTTAACCAACAAATTGCAATTAACACGAGGACAAACAAAAGAGGATGCCTTCACCCTTGTACATACACAGCCCCAAAAGACAACAATATAAGCCCCCAACAGCATACAAATTGACATGACTAATTTGACCCAACAACTCCCTCCCCCTCAACATAACAGCAAAACTCACTGCAATCAACCAAATGCAACCAACCATGGCCTGAGCTCTCCAATCTCTCTCACCACCAACAAAAACTAAAAAATAAATAGATGACGAACCTATCTACGTGATGCTGACACAAAAACAGTGCACCTACACTACGCAAGAGAAGTATGGTAAGTGATTACCCCCCTTCTTTCTCCCATGTCTCTCTATCTGCCTATTTCTCCCTCACAACCTCACAATGCCTATGATAGCAGTATCTCACACTTTTTGTTCCTCTCATTAAAAAAACAAACATGAATCTAAACTAATGAATCACAGTAGTGCTCCTAGATACACCTAAAAAAATACCTACCCTTTTAAAGGTAGTGATAACTTTCTATCTGACAATATCTAAGAATGGCTGAATAGTCTTAAAGAAAACCCTTCTACTTTGACACCTTCCTGCTCTGTTCAGCTGTTGTAATAATGTCAGGATGAAGTTAGTAGAAAGGGAAGTGGAAACTTGACACAAGGACACTTGGGGTCTTTGGAGGTCCCCCCCCCGGGAATGCTTGACCAGAACTTTAAAAACGCTTCCCTTAAAATGAGCTCTCTCCACCACTCTCTATTTCTATGTTTTCCTCCTCCCTTGATTTTTTTTTAATGTAATTACTTCTGGTTTTCTGTCTTCTTACTGTTAGAAATGTCACATTGTTTAGTTATCAGCACGCTTACTCGGAGAAGTTTATTAAACATGATGTGGTGTTTCTGACATAGCGGTCTGAAAAGCAAAATGGATTTCATGGCTGGGTTCATAAAATGTGCCTCTTTGTATGGGTGGATTTAATTGGACAGTTTCTTATTTAGGAAAATTGCTCCCTGAAAGGCATAGTGTGGGTGGGCAGATGGTGTCAGTCAGAACAGAGGGAAAAGAAGATCCGGCTGAGTGACTATATGGGCTAAGCACAAAGCAAAAGCAAGACACTCTTCAAGCAAAGCAATTGCTTGCTCTTGCCTGTGTGCATGCATTCTGCAGACCTGTGACATGGTTTATGCTTTTAATTGTGGTACAATTCTGTATTTCTGATTTGGGGATACTGGGATGTTTCCCTGGTTTTAGAGACTGCTTGTGTTCCTTCCCAGGGTAAGGATGGTAGCTCAGTGGTAGAGCATCTGACTTGTGTACAGAAGGTCCCAGTTCAATTCCCAGCATCTCCAAGCAGGGCTGGGACTGTCCCCTATCTAAAACCCTGGAAAACTACTGGCAGTTTAGAGCAGACCAGGTATCTTCAACCTTTTCAGTCTCAGTAGGAGTCCAGTCCAGTTCAGCACAGGTGTGATTGGATGGTCTTGAATGTTACCTAAGGAAGTCTTTGTGCAGAAGTTTATCATTACCCCTTGTGAGGGCAAAGGCATTGCCATGTTTTCTTTTACAAAAAGGCATGGTAGGTTTTCCTTTGATGGGGTAACTTGTGGAGAAACTTGTTTGATTACACCAAACAGAATTTTACTTTAGATATCAGTTTTACAAAAAAGTATATTCTTCTATTGCTTGATGTCAGGGACTGGCTGGATGAGGAGTGGTGGTGGAAGCCACCTGACCAAGAGCCCCCCAGGGGAAGCACAGAGGGAGAGGATTTAGATCCTGTCTTCTGCTGGTGGGAAACCAGCCACACCCCAGAGGAGGGGAAGAGCTGGGAAGTACTGGAGGCTGGGAGCTTGGAGGATGAGGAAGAGGAGGAAACAGGCAGGTGCCCTAGCACAGGGCAGAGACAGGAATCAGACTTGTTAGATCCACCACAGAGCCACCCTGACAGCTTCTCTGCTAACAGCTTGCAAACCCCCACCTCCACATCCCAAAACTCTCACCTAAATGCATGTTACCGAGCCAGGAAGCAACAGAGAGGGTCCCTTGGGGCTTGCCATAGACAGGGAGGGGCCTGACACAGAGGGATAGGGAGTGGAGGAGGAGTTCCAAGCCAGTGTGGGCAACTGCTTCATCAGAAGCAACCCTTAGAAGTGTCCATTTGTTACTTGATTTGCTTCCTTAATAAAGAAACTACCTGTGAGTTAGCTGGTGTTTCACTGTATTTCTCTGATCTGCGAATGACCTGTTCTCCTTGTCAGCTCCCAGACACTTGCAAAGTATTCCAAACATTTTACTTACAGTAAATAAGGAATGCTTACCCTTCTAGTGTTTTGTTTCTTTTTTTATTGATTATTTTGAATATATGTAGAGAGGACATGGGGGGAATGGAGTTGAAATGAAGTGATATCGGAAATGTGACAATGTTGAGGGACAATATTTATAAAGAACAAAAATCATCATACAGTTGTTTTAAGTACTGTATACTCCATCATGTGAGCTGTATTGGTCTAACAAACATTTGTTCTAACCCTTTATAAAAAAGAATATAGCTTTCAGCATTCTGAAGTAAATATCAAGATCACTCGGAAATGCAAATTTCATATATCTATAATACAGTTATTACCCTGGGTGTGCACTAGCCTATGCTTTAATTGATTATTTTAGCAAAGAGAGGCAGAGAAATGAGAGGTCATACTAGGAGAGAACAGCAAAGAAATGATGGCTGCAGTTCTATGCACATTAACCTGGAAATAAAACACATTGAGCAACCTGAAAATTAGCCCAACCCTGTTAGCCTATTTTATGTAACCATCTCTTCGGCTCCTAGTTGAGCCAAGCTGCTAAAGAAGCCAATGTTTGACTCCAGGAGGAAAAGTTGGTTTCTCCAGAACTGCCACATAAGCTACTTATAAAAGCCTTAGGAAATGCTGCTGCTGATTATTTCCAAAAAAATATTAAGAGCCCAGGGCTATTATTCAGTTGCATTTTTTAAAAGGGATGTATCCAGTATTAAATTGATGCATATGTCAACTTTAGACCACAAGTACAGTGTTTAATTTAAGAACTTTTGACAATGTATGAACTACAGTGATTCCTTCTGCCCTTTGTTTCTGTTGGTGTTATTTTAAATAAAATACAATTTCAGCAGTTGCTTTCACACCCACACTCCACTGCCTCAGACATGATTGGGCCATGTCCATTTACCTGTAGTTCCTATTCAATAGCCCTTGTGAATTTACTATTGAGCAAGCAAGGTTAGGAGGGAGGCAGATCTGTCTCCTATATGGTATAATTCTTTTGTCCTGCCATTTCTCACTGTCAGTCTCCCCATTGCATTTATTCATTCTTCCACCCTTTTCCTGTTCCCTCCATATTCATTTAAGTCTTTTATGCATCCCCAAACTTAAAAATGCCACCCACAGTCTGCTTTAACAAATGTTTCACTCCACATCAACTGACATTTTGTCTCATTGCTCAGGTTTCTATATCTCTTCCTTCTGTATTCCAAAACAGCTGCCTATACTACCTTTTCTGTAGTGGGTGCCCACCACAGAAGCCTAAAAATAACTGGTCAGACAGTAAGTACAGCACCATCAGTGTTCCATATTCTTCTTAACCATGGTAAGCATATTGCCATTCCCTGGTTCTTCCCAGCCTTGGAGAGCTCAGCCTAGCAGTTGTGCAGTGACCTTCATCCACTCCCTAGCTTAAAGTCTGGGAGGAAGGCTAAGGGCTGCTGGGTCACTTCATCCCTGTGGTTCCAAGGGTATGTTGACCAAGAAGTGACCAAAGTGGGAAGCTCCCTTTCAACCTTCCTTTGGCCAGCTGGGGCAGCTTAACTGCCAAGCAACTGCAAGTCTTTTCTGTGGGGAATGCTTGGACGTCACTACTGTACAGGGCCAGATTAGGTTTAGTGGGGGGGGGGGCAAAGTTTTTGGTTTGGCTAGTAAGGCCAGCCAGTCATAGTAGATGTACTGTGACTTATAACTGTGACTGTCATTATAAATTGGGAAAGATCTCTCAGAGTCCAAAAACTTGCGGTCATCCAATAAAACTTAGGGTCAACAGAGTAAGCAGTTTTTATAAGGACAGATAAATGCAAAGGGCATGCAGATCATAAGGGGAAACATATATGATACAGGCAAGACACATGCAAAATGAATGTGATTGTTGGAGCTAACAATGTGCAATGCTTTGTTTATAATTTCCAGGCATCACCTGGGTTCCCACAGTGTGGGATATGCTGCCGAATGAATCACTAGTCTAACCTGCAATCACAGTTTCTTATGTTCTTCTGTGATAACAGTCATGATATTCTACTGAATGATCAGACAATACAACCCAGTTAGATACTTTTATTTATGTTCAATGGGGTGCCTAGTTCCTTATTTCAAAGCCTGTTGTGAATATTTTATACTGGGAGTTTAGTTTTCAGTTCAAGGGTATCGACAAACTTGTTTGTCTCTGGGGGAAGTTTTTTGGGAATTGAGCGCACTAGAAGAAGCTCCCCAGAAAGCTCAGGGAGAAGAAAGCTACACCATGCCATGAATAACAAATGGCTACTGCTTGCATGAGAAAAGTGCAAAATGATTTTGGCTAATTAAGTGTGAGAGCAAAACAATTCCTATTTCCATCCATTCTTTCCACATCAATAGTCTGTTTTCAGTTTTCAACTGCAGGTTATCCCATAAAACAGCATCCGTGTGTGAGAAAGGAAGGAATTTAAATGATCTGAAAAGCTTGGCATATAAACGTCTGTCAGATAATGTTTGTAGGAACTAGAAAATCATATAGACAGCTTGTCTTTGTGGGTCTCAGGGGTGGTCTTGTCACTGCTTCCCTGGGAAAGGGTATAGCTCCTTTAAGCATACAAGATTGCTGTGAGATCCCTTCTGAAGAAAACTAATCTGGATCCAGGTGATATAAATAATTACTTCCCCATGTCAGACCTACCTTATTTGGACAAGGTGTTCACCTCATTCATTCCTAAGTGAACTTGATAACTTAGATGAATTTTAGTCTTGCTTCTGCTCCAGTTTTTGAAACAGAAGCAACCTTGGCTACCCTAATGTCCACTAACAGGGGAAGTGCAATCCTGTTTATTGTCCAGAAACTGGTTGATGGGATATTGTAGTTCTACCCAATGGCCTTTGGCCTGTGGGATACCACAAGTTTCCAGGCTTTCTCCTTTGGTTTCTAACATCTGCATGGGACTGTTGTGAGGACATTCAGAGATGTTGTCTGGAATTTCATCAGTATACTGATGGCTTACAGCTCTATCTCCATTTTCCATCTTCTGATCCTAAAGAGGCAGGGAGCTAATAACCTCTTGTCACTTCAGAAGCAGATCAGGGCAAGCTAGCTGAAAATGAAAGATGGATGTAGTTGGAGATGGGTTCAGCTGATCTGTAAGTGGGTTTTTACCCTGTTCTGAAACACTGCTCCTGGATCCAGGGCTCTCCCTTTATATTTTTCGGGTGGCAGCACCTCCACATCAGGCTGGTTTTCTAGTCATTCATGCTCAGTTAAATTTGGATTGCTATGATGCTTTCTACTGGCTATGGTGCTTTCTATAGCTCAGAAAAGACAATTGGTCCAGAATTCAGCTGCCAAAGCTTTGACTGGAGCTGAACAATTGGAGTATTTGATGTTAAACTTGAACCATCTACACATGCTACCCATTTGTTTTCGGTCTCAGTTTAAGGTACTAGAGTGGACCTTTAAGGTTCTTAATGGTCTAGGATTGGGGTATATCAATAACCACTCTGTCCTATATAAACTTGCCTAAGCTTTAAGGAGAACTTACTTTAGCTTTAGGGAAGTTACCGGTACTTCCTGTTCCTTCACTACTGGATGGGTCCAAGAAACAGAACTGTTTTAGGTGATGGTGCCAAAACTTTGGGATGGCCACCTTGGGAAAACCTGTCAGATTCCTTCTCTTCCTGAGTTTAGAAGGATTGTGAAGATGTAGTTGTTCAAACAAGCATTGAATATATAATACACTACTTTTTTAAAACAACAACACCCTGATTTAAAATGTCTGTTATCACTGGCACTGTTACTTTGTTCTAATTGTAGATGTTTTCACCTTTCTTATTTATAAAGTGCTTTATTGATTGTTGTTTTTGTAAGCAGTATTGGATGTAATTTATTGCAAAAAACAATAACAAACAACAATTATTCTTATGTGGAAAGGCTTGGAAGAGGAATTAACTTAAGAATTAATGTTTATATTGATTCAGTTGTTTTGTACATAGACCACACATTTTAAAAACGGTGCCTGTGTTTGTAAGTATAGAATGGAGAATAAGGGGTCATATATAATCTGTGGGTTTCCTGTCAGAATTCT